ATTTAAATTATAAGAACAAGAAGAAGGAGAAAATTTTCAGTCTCATCTTTTTCCTTATTCCAAATATTTTTTCTTTCCTGATCAATGTTTCTATAGAGAAGCAAGATTCTGTCATGAAATCCCCCCCCCCCCCACCCACCCACTGCCTTACCATGTCACATGATTTCATTTTGATCAAAGGGTTAATTCTTATGTCCAGTTCAAAAGAAAAGGCACACAATGCAAATGATGCCTACTAGTACTAGTACTTACAAATTCACAACAGACTTAGGCCTCATTCCCAATGAAAATTAGTTATTCTACATAGATCAATCAAACTCCAAGGGAAATCATCGCTGAATGCAATCAGATTAACACCCTTCCTCTTGCCGTTGAGTGGAATACAGCAAAGCTGGTGATTCTACAAATACAGTGGAAACAAGAGGAGGCGTGTTGATCTGATTACATTCTGCGAGAGGCCCAGCAGAGTCTGATTGATCTATGTAGAGCAAAAGTTACATTGGGATTAAGCCCTTAGCTTGTTTTAAACAGAAACTGACCCGTCCAGTGGGAACAGTGGACAGCCTGTTTATTTACCTGACCACATGTGGATAGTGAACTCACATATATAACAGAGACCTTGTTCAGACTAAACTGAAACAGAATTTGTTTACTTCCTGCATTTCCTGGTTCTTAAATTTCCACTATATATTTATCTTTGCTACAGAATGAACTCATTGACTCCTAGACTGAAGCAAAACCGATTTTGCTTTCTTGCTGTTTCCTGGTTTGTTTTGCAGTAGAAAGGACTCAGTGTTATACTATCAGTTGAAACTGAATTTGATAAGTGTCTGTATTTCCTCTTTTGTTGTGCACACGTATTTGCAAAAAAAAAAAAAAAAAGGGTTACTCAACCACACACACAAATGGTATTTAGTAACTTTCAAAACAGACACTGTCTTTCCCCACCCCCACCCTCCCAAAATAGATAATTACACATTCTCCTTTCATCATCCCTGAACCTAACCCTCACTTCTTTTGGACTTTTGTCAAAGAACTGGCAATCTCCAAAGCAATTTCTGTGGGAGGAAAAAAAAGTAGGCATAACTGGGTGTGATGAACAACATGAGCTCACAGTCTATTAATTTGGTGGTTTCAGACATTAATTACATGATCGCGTCTCATGGCGCTATTGTATTTTTAACCTACGATATATCACTGATGTATGCACATGTTCCTCTCTGTATGCACAGAGCATCAAGTGACCTATTGGCATTGACACAGAGTTGGGTGATATTTTTGGATGCATGATACTAAAATTGCATAATTATCATGCAGCAAATGTATTATTTTGCCTTCAGCTCACCATCTTGTGTTTATAATGTGATAGGCTGTATATATTTTTCTTTAATAATTATAATTATTCCAGCATTATTTTAAAACTAACTAAATGCTTATATTTTGAAGTAAATGACCTTAAAGGGATAATAACTCTTCCTTTTGGCCAAAAAATTAATTTTCCTGGAGTAAACAACAATTTTCCCATGCTTACAAATGGTTAATGAATCCATTTTTACATTCAAAGTTAGTCCTTATTTTTTTTCTAAAAAGTTTTTTTCTTTTTTTGTTATAATCTCTTAAGAGATTTTAATTAAGCATAGCCATCAATGGAGGTCACATGGTCTAAAGACAAGCTCAGATATCAGAATAATAGCTATAGCTGTCGTTTTTGTGGTAAAACAATATATTATATTTCTACGAGTTGTTCACAATGTTTTTATTGTGAAATATATATCTCATACAAAGAGTTATTATCCCTTTAAGCACTGTGACCTTTCTCACAATCCTGGTGAATTATCCACAACAAGGAGAAAAAAAAAATCATATTTATACTGATAAAACAAGTGTACAGGTAATATATATATATATCTGGGTAGGATGATGAAAAGAACACTTGTTTCTGGCTTGCTGCCGGTAGCAAACTGTAGCCATGGGCTTTCATTTCCCATTTTCCCCTCTTCCGTATCATTACTGCATAGACAACTTTTATCATAACTTGACCTTGGCATTTGTAAGACTGCAGATCCAGTCAATGGGATCAAAAACAAAGATTTTTGCGTCATAAGCAATTTGGGCTAGAATTTAGAGTTGTTTACCAATCCTGTCAAAATTTTATTGTTTTATTTAAATCTAAAGCAGTCATTCATTTTCAGCATAATTGTTTATCAAATTCAAACCGGACCTTTGGGAACAAGTTTGAGTTTCTTTGTTATCTGAAGAGGAAATGTCCTCCGTGTGACCTTGTTTTGATTATGAGCATAGGCTTGCTTGTTATATTTACTTCAAATTTTCAAATGCCACATTTTTTCTGATATTTCACATCTTAAAGATTTATCAATTTCATCACATTCACAAAAAACTTTCAATTTTTTTTCAAATTTTTCGAAAATTTTCTGACGCAAAGCCAACTAACTTTTTGAAAAAATTTTCAAAATCATTTTTAAAACTATAACTAAAACATTTTTGTGGATTATTATCAGTTCACATTGTCAAAAAATCTAATGAATGATCAGTCCACAGATAACTGATTTTTCATCAAAAAAACTCACAGAGACACAAAAACAATTCCACCACAGTAAAGTACGGACAAGAAAATCTTCCTGCCATCCTCCCCCAAGCTCCATCCAAAAAGAACACCACCCCATTACAGATCGAAATACATGTAGCATGCATACACGTTTCTAAAAAACCACAAACATTTTTCGGGGCAGCAAGGGCAGTACCAACCCATCTGGGCGCAAATCTCTGACCTTCACATTTTAACCCCAAACAACCTGGCCTTACGTCACTCAGGCTCCGTAAAACAAGGGTCGCCCCCTTCTCACATCTCTGAACACAATTTATCATATGGCGTAAGCTGCTTTGCTATGTTGACGTGGGTGTTCTGTTAGCTTTTGCTTTGGAAACAGTCAAACACCCAATGATCATCAAACAATACCGAGGCATCTCTTAAAACTAAAAAATTCCCCACTTATTCATACGCTATAATAAAAGGTAAAATAGTAATAAAAAGGTGCCGCAGGTCTAACACCTGAAATACAGGTAAAGGTCCTATGCGACTAGTTAAACTCGATCAATAAAATTAATGCATTTTTTATCATGCAAATACAACACCCCTTTCAAATGGTACCCGTCATTTGCAAGTGACCTTATGAATGAAATTGTTCCCCTGGCTAATGCATTGTTTGTATGCTTTTACAGTATATTCTGCGACCACAACAAAAGCCTTGAAAATCATTCATAGTGGTATGAGCCCTTTTTCTTCCCTACAACCCCATGGATTTTAAATACTGAATGAGAACATTCTGGCCTGGATCCAAAACAATCAGCCCTCAAGAATGAGTGGAATGTTTTAAAAAGCCCCAAGTAGAGCAAGAGTGGGTGTCCGACGGAGCGAAAGCTTGGAGTATTAAAAATTCTTCAAGCTATGCAGGTGCTTGGATTAGATTTGCACATAAATCAGTTATGACTTAGCATTCACCGAACTGAGACCTACATATTTGTCTGCTACACATTTGATTCATAAAAAATGCACTCCTCGTTCCCCTTTTTCAATTGTGAAAGGTAGTGGTGGACCAATGAACCAAGAGGTTTCTTTTTAAAATTGTTTTCACAACGCTGCAAACACAGACTATATCAACTATTGGGACCAGGTGACCTACACGATTCAAAGATTTAATCGCTTTGTTGACCTACCTTTATCAACAATCAAAAAGCAAACAAAGACCATGAATGGGCACACAGGATTGTAAAGACAGATCTCATTGGCTTCGGCAGCCATTTTTAAAGGGATGCCATTATTCAAAATTTGAAAAAAAAAAAAAAAGATAAATAACCGTAAGTCTGTTGGACTAAGATAACTTGAATCAAATCGCCGTTATCAGTTATAAGTGTATGTAAACAAGACAAGTGAGGATAATAATTTAAATGCTACTATTCAAAATTACTGATTAGCATTCACATGACGAAAGTGAACTCGGCTTTCATTTTTGAACCTGTGAAACAACAGAACAGACCGAGCAAAGCTATGCAGCCGAAATTTGAATTTCCTACAAGAGTATTTCATATTGATCGACTTCCATCGACATTACAAGCAGGCACTCAAACAGGCAGCACTTAAAACCCACAGCAAGAGTAAAACCTCGATGATTTTCCTACGCATCTGTCACACTATCTAGAAGTTTAGGATCAATATTTTAGGATAAAATTAGCTTCGCGCAGACTGGTGTAAGATGTTAGCAGCTGGTACAACATTATAAACAGTAAACCTGGGGCATACAATATCAATTGCGCATGTATGCACATGACCCCGCACCCAAACCAAAATTATATCAGATAATCACTCTTACAAAAAAAAAGTCCTACTTTCATGATGAAAAAAATATCTTAAAGCTCTCTCTTATCATATTCAGGAACAACATTTTCTTGGGGATAAAAAAAAAAGAAAAAAGAAAAAGAATGACCCTATATTGACATGATTAAGCAACCCGTGGCCCTTTTTCATCTGATTCAATGACTAAAAGTATTGAACTGTATTTTCCAAACCTGTGGACATTGAACATTTATTGATCAGAGAATTTATAATCTATAGGGTGAAATGTCATATACCACAGGGGCATGAAACATTCCATCTGAATCTGATTTTTTTTTTCTTTTTATAACAGACTTAGAGAACCACTGAACTTGAAAAAACAGGAGCAACATTATGGTAATTTTGATTTCCTTCACAAGCTTAGTGGTGTATTTATCCTAAGCTAAGGTACATATATTTACCTCCAAGATGCTGCATATATTTAGCACACAAATAACGACCCAAATTCCACCCATACCTATTATAATATGATAAATAATTCATCAAGATTGAAGATGTTGTCAATGTCTGGGTTCCATTAGTATAAACACGACTTCGTATAATTTATATATATGGGTATGTATGATATGTATGGGGATATATCACTTACCCATCCTCCGTGCTGTATTATCCACGGCGCTAGCTGTGTGTCTAAATACGTTGTCTCCCATTCTATGATGTTTTCTACGAGTCCTGGCATTTCCTTTTCAACACAGTACACAGAGAGAGCCCCACCGAACGCTATCAAGCCCACTATTCTCCCCCATTTTACTCCGTCTTGAAAAATTTCATCGGCGATTTGGAAAAATGCAGGGTATGCAGTAGTTTGTGTTAAATGTAACTGACCACAGAGGTCCTGAAACACTGTCCTGTAACGCTGCTCGAATTCCTCTCCTAGCAGTCTCATACACTGGTGAAGTCTTGTTGGTTCTTGAGAATCTGCTAACATATTACACCCGGTCTTCTTCAGTCGAGTTGCTATGTAATCCCGTACAAGAGGTCTCGAATTCAGACTAGACATATTGTTGTTGTTGTTGATATTTGTCATAGTGCTGAAAAACGAAAAGAACAGCACACATTTAACCAAACATCACCCTTCTCCCGGTCAACTAGCCATCCTTTCTCACGCTACTCGGCTGCCAGCAACGAGGCTATTATGCATATGTTCCATATTTAAAATAAAATCATTTAAAATTACTAAGCGATCTCGTACTTACGTTTGGTCATACTGTCGGTTCATGTTTGAACTTTATATCCAATATTTTTCATTGAAAACTGAGTTTCTGTCATTGTATTGTGCTTTTGGGAGATGTTTACATTATTCGAAGCGACCTCCTTTATATCTAAGCCGGTCGCAACGTCACAAACACCCGTGATCAGCCTCGATTTTGATTGGCAATATGGGTGACGCATTTCTTTTAAAACGAGGCCGAAAAAGGGGGTTAGGCAGGTTGATTCATATGTGATAGTGAATGGACTTAGGTTGTGAAATAGGTACATATGTACGCTGACGAAATGGACTTGAATTTTAGGACAATCGTATAAAATTTCAAACACATCATTTCTTATTTGCCCACGGCACACTGTAAGTATTTAGAAAAGCAATGTGTGCTCAAGAGAGATCAAGAAACATTTCAATCTTGGATTATATTTAAAATAGTTTGTTTGATTTAAAAAAAAGGACCCAAAGAAGCCTAATTAATTTTATTTGTCAAAATATTTCTTTTTATCTAGCTGGACAGTTTATGTCAGGTAAAAAAGATAGATAGGAAATTGACACTGATTAAGTGATATTTTTATGAGGATCATATATTATACAATTATATTAGTCTCCATTTAGATATATTATATTATATTATATTATATTATATTATATTATATTATATTATATTATATTATATAGTAGTATCTTGCATCATAAAGCATTATATTAAGTCATACTTCGTCTAAAAAAATCTTCATCAGGGTGAGTCACATGTATGTATATACTGGTACTGCCTAGGCCTATATCATCACATTCGTCATTATCAGTGATTTATGATTATATCATCAAAGAGGAAGGCCGATGTCGTGGAAGTCACGACGACCTTTGGCTATCAAAGTAAACAGGCGATCCTTTCCGTGCCCTCTAGAGCGTGACCCTAAAAGGACTAGATTGAACAGGATTAACTGCAAACATGACGTCAGCGTTCATATGTCAACAGGCGGGGGGGGGGGGGGGGGGG